GGGCCGATCCCACTGACCCATGACCTCCCCTAACTGCAGCGGAGTAACTGAGCCCTGATCTAGCACCAGGGGCACTCAACACCAAGGGGGCATGACCAGGGGAAGCCGCCACACCAGCAGCAGCAACTGAAGGGGCAGACGCAGATGAGCCATGACCTGGGGGAGCCCGGGGTTGGGGACCACCCACACCAGCAGGAGAACCCACCTGAGCCTGACCCGCAGGAGCCTGGACCTGAGAACCTGGAGCCCCCTGAGGAGAAACCGAGGAACCTGGTGGTTGCGCACCAGAGGCCACCATGCCCCCCGAAGGGGCGGGGCCTAGTGGGACCACCACCGGAGGGGAAACACCCTTAGCCAGGACTGTAGGGCTAACCTGCACCTCAGACAAATTTGCAGGCATTATAATACCCGCTACCCCAGTGTCCACAACCATCTCACCATCTGAGTGTCAGCAGAGTCCTTCTCCTTCTGTACAGACAGTGGCTTCCCTGCCTTTGCCAACACATCCTTGGGGATGCATTGCAGCATGACAAAGGCAGCATGCTCTTTCACCACCGGCTTAGCCGGCTTGCGGGAGATGACATCACTTTCAGCTTCTTCCTCCGAGTCCTCGGATGTAAACCTGAAGTCGGCTCCACGCAGCTCCGGCACCGCCTCTGCCACAAACCGCAATCCGCCCGCCATCTCCGCCTCCTCCACCTGGGTCCCCCAATCCACAGGCTGCTGCCCAGGGGAGAGGGACTCTGACGATCCCACGACCACGCTGTCTTCCATTTTAGGCGCCATTTTCTCTGAGGGTGCTGCGGGCTCAGCCTACCCCTGCTCCTGCTCGCCTTCCACTGGCAACTCCCCCGACAATTCCTCCACTGAGTAGGTCTCCTCCACTGGACCCCGCATCGCCGCAACACTGCGGCTGCTGCCCAGGGGGGAGGGACACTGACGATCCCGCGACCACACTGTCTTCAATTTTAGGCGCCATTTTCTCTGAGGGTGCTGCGGGCTCAGCCTGCCCCTGCTCCTGCTCACCTTCCACCAGCAACTCCCCCGACAATTCCTCCATCGAGGAGGTCTCCTCCACCGGACCCCGCATCGCCGCAACACTGCGGCTTCTTGCAGCCTTAAATCTCGCTTCGTTCAAATATTTTTCACTTAGGACTCCGCTCTTGCGCTGCAGCGTCACCACATACCTCCCCTGCTGGGACACACGTAACTGCAGCGCCTGCAGGTCGGGTTTCATGGCCTGACGCTTAGTAGACCATACACGGTCGTAGGATGATCGGAGCTTCTTTAGCTCCAGAGTCAGCTTCTGGAGCTTGGCTTCCTCCTTCTCTACTAACCTGGCCCGAGCGGCCACACGGTCCCGGTAGGCAGAGTAAACTTCCCCCTTCCTAGGGGCCATTCCCAGGTCCTCTACCGGTGGAAAAGAGAGGCCGGTACTAGGCTCCTCCAGGGCCTTCCCATTGCTGGACCCAGGCCCAGGATCCGCCATCCTGCCTGGGCTGGGCAGGGCACTTTAGCCCCAGGCTTTTCAGGCCTTCCTGGAGCTCAGCTGAACTCTCCAGCATACAACCACACCCGTCAGGAATGGAAATTTTTATTATGAAAATTTCTTGCAATCCAGAACATTTTATATAAAAATAAAAACATTAGCATATATGCATACTGTAATGATCAACAGAAAGTAAACCCATACCGGGTTGCATTATGAAAGTCTTTCTTAGGCCTCTAAAGCCAAAATGTCCTGAGAAAGTTCTGCATGAAAATTACATTAAGCCAACAGGCCAAAGGCCAGAAAGTAATCCTCCGCATTATGTTACTCTACAACACACCATTATAATACAAAACGCTTACAACATTACCATACCCGTAAGACTAAGAAACATAGCCCTTCAGATGCATGTAACCCTTTCCAAAAATTTCATCTAAAGGAAATAAGGATAGCTTCCACACCCAGAGATCAACAGGTTATGAACCCGGGCCTGATGTTCCTCCACGCCTCCATCCAGGCCCTTTGTCGCAACCTGTCTTTCTCAAGACCCAGAATTTTCCCAACCTCACCAAGAATGCCATTCACCACCACCATGATAGGAAGGACTTTCTGCCGAAGGGAGACCTGACACCGTGCATTCCATATGAAGTAGCGAATCACTAAACAGACTAAGAAAAGAGTGCTTAAATCATAACCCGTACGCCTTTCGAAGGCCCCATACACCCACTCCGCATAAGACATACGGTGCAGAAAAGGGATGTCTAGAGCCCTCCCTGCCTTTTTATATACCTCTATATTGAAGGGGCACCGAAGCAAAAAGTGGTCCATAGATTCCACTTCACCCCCACATTCCACCCTTAGACAACCACGGTTGTCCACGGAGCGGTACTTCAAGTTCCCCCTCACATATAGTCTGCCATGAAACGCGAGCCAGGCCTGGTCCCTAAACTTCAATGGAATCCTTTCCATGTTTATCAATTTTAAGTCCTCCCGCAGACTATGGCCTGGGCAATCCTTCAAGGCCAGCGGTAAATGGAAGGCAGTGGCCACAACCCTCTCCCTGAGAGACTTCCCAGGAAGTGATCTGACCTCTTCCGCCGTCACACACCACTGCCGCAGACGTGCTTGACTCTCAGGCTTCTCACTGGCCCGCCACTCTCCCAGCTGCCAAGAAAGGGTCTAAACCACATCTGAAAAAAACCTACCCATCCAGGCGCTCCTCACTCAGCATTTTACCAAAGTTATGTTTCAGGAACATAACGGGAGAAGAAAACCACTGGGTTGACCATTCCTAAGCCACCCTCCCACCTGGAAAGGTAGGTAACATTCCGCTTCACGAGGTTCAGCCTGTTCCCCCACAACAGCTGGAAGAAACAGCTGTAGACCCTCGTTTAGACAGATTCTGGCAAGAGGCAGATGTAGCTAACATACAAAAAGACTGGAATCAGACAGGTCTTTATCAAATCGACCCTTTCCCTCAAGGAGAGCCGCCACCCCTTCCAGCACTTCACCTTGATCTCGGCATCTAACAGTCTGGACTCCCAATTTGCTTTGGCGTAATCGCCAGGGTCAAATGTAATGCCTAGCACTTTGATCTTAGACTGGGGCACAGATTCAGTTCCACCTCTGGGCGGGGCCACCCCACTCTTCATCTCATCACAAAGATCAGGACATGACTCACCACTCGGAAGGGACAGTCCTCCCCTGCTGCATCACAGAGACCCAGAGCCAGCATTGTACTGCCAGTGGGCGATGACACTCCATGATCTTCTAAGCCACAGGGAATCTGAGCTGCAGACAAACCCACGCCTCTGGGCAGAAACACCTGGTCTTCCTCCATGCCATGAGAACTCTGACTTGCAGGCACACCCCCGCTGCTGGGCCGGGACACCCCGCTCTCCTTCACACCTCCAGACTGCATACTGACATTCCTGGACCGGGACACCCCACTCTCCTTAGCACCTCCAACACTTAGACCACTGGATTCAGCCACCACTTCACTGCTGGATGGGTTCACTCCCAACACCTCTGACACTCTCACTCCTGCTGCTGCAGACTTCACCAATTTGCTGGGAATCCTTTCCAAGCTGACAAACACCGCTCTTTCTTTCTCCCAGGGCTTAGCTGGCTTCTTACACCTGTCATCCTCATCCTCCGATTCCTTGGATGTAAAAGCAAACTGCTTTACATGTAAAGGGGACTCCATTTCTTTAATAAAATGCATAGTTCCAGCTCTCTCAGCCGCCTCCACTTGAGACCCCCAGTCCAGGGGCTGCTGCTGGGGGGGGATGGAGCCAAACCCCACAACCTTTACTGCAGGTGATACTTCCTCAGCATGCATGGGGGGGCTGGCTGGATCAGCCTCCACCCGGCAGGCTCCCTAACCTGCCAGGGCATCAGAAAACTCCTCCAGAGATGACTCCTCCTCAGCATGACCACGGGCCTCTGCCACAAGCTTGCTCCTTGCAGATCTAAACCTGTCTTCATTAATATATCTTTCTCGCTGGATTCCACTGGCCGCTTTTAGTGCAGCAACCATCTTGACCTGCTCACTGACGCTCTGTTCCAAGATCTCCAACTGAGGCTTCATGGTTTTGCGCTTGGAGGACCAGACCAGGTCATACGAAGCCCTGAATTTCTTCAGCTCTAGTCTCAGCCCACTTAGCTTTTCCTCCTCCTTGTTCAAGCGGTTGATATGGGCCACAGTGCGCTCTCTGTATGCACTGTATTTCTCCCCTGGCCTAGGGCCCATTCCCAGGTCCTCCACTGGTGTTTTTGTGGGGGCTGGTACTAGGGCCCTTGGGGGGGCCCCACCACCAGGATCCTGCCCAGGAACACTCATCCTTCCTGGGCAGGGAGAGGAATCCAGTCCCTGGTTCCAACAAAGGCCTCTGGAAGCTCAGAGCACAGCTTGCACACCACCTTCCACGACAAGCTCAGGAATGGAGATATTTTATTATGTATTTGAGTCATACATATCCATCATACTTTTCTTATAAAAGTAAAAAACATAAATAAATACAAACATGAAACTCATGCACAAACAAAAGTCCAGAAACTCCTGAAAAGGAAAAACTTTAACAAAAACCGCCCTTTAGGCTCACTATATAGTAGTCCCAGGCCTATATTGGCCTATTACTTAAGTCCAAAAAGCTTTAATGACCAGAGAAAGTTCATCTCTAAAAGGAGAAAAAAAATCCATATATACATAGGCCTTTATGGGCAAAAACATGCCCATATCCAAGAACATATATAGCACAGGATATTCCCATGCAGTAGCCTATTTGGCCAAAGAAAGGACACATGCAATTTCCAATCTCCCGCAATACTCGGCCTTTATGACCTAAACTCACCATAGAAAGAGAACTTAACAACATTACAAACTTACCAGAAGGAAGGCCAAGAAACATACACCTTCAGCGTCGCGACCTTTCATAAAATGGAATATTTCTTGACAAAATCTAGGGGGGTGAAAAAGGAGGAAAATAAGGACAGATGCCACCACCCGAGATCAGCAGACAGCAGCTACAGGCCTGATGTTCCTCCACGCCTCCATCCAGGCCTTCCGCCGCCATCTGCCTTTCTCAAGGCCCCGAACTTTCCCAACCTCACCAAGGATGTCACGCACCACCACCTGAACGGGGAGGACTTTTTCCGAATAGAGACCTGACACCGTGCGTTCCATGTGTAATACCGGACCACTACACTAACTAAGAACAGGGTGTCCAAATCAAAATCCCGGCGGCTTTCAAATGCTCCATACACCCACTCTGCATAAGACATGGAATGGAGGAAAGAGACACCCAGAGCCCCACCCACCTCTCTGTACACTTCTACGTTAAAGGGGCACTGAAGCAGGAAGTGGTCCATAGTTTCCACATCACCCTGACACTCCGACCTCGGACAACCACGGTCATCCAGAGGACGGCACTTCAAGTTGCCCCTCACGTAAAGTCTGCCATGAAAGGCGAGCCAGGCCAGGTCCCTAAACTTCAAGGGAATCCGTTCCAGATTTAACAATTGTAAACCCTCCCTCATGATATGGCCTGGGCAATCCTTCAAGGCCAACGGCGCATGGAAAGAGGTCGCCACAATCCTCTCACCTAGGAGTCTCCTAGGGAGGGATCTGACTTCCTCTTCTGTCACATGCCACCGTCAGAGTAACTTCAGGCACAGGGCCACATAAGCCGGGAGCTTACCGTGCTTGACCCGCAGGCTTCTCACTGGCCCGCCACTCTCCCAACTGCTCAGAAAGGGCCTAAACCAGATCTGGAACAGTCCTACCCATGGAGGCGGTCTCTCTGCTAACATACTACCAAGATTATGTTTCAGGAACATCAGAGAGAAGAATACTATCGGGTTGACCATACCTAGGCCCCCCTCCCACCTAGATGAGTAAGTTACGTCCCTCCTAACAAGGTTCAGCCTGTTCCCCCATAACAGCTGGAAGAAGCAGCTGTAGACCCTCATATAGAGCAACTCTGGCAAGAGGCAGATGAAGCTGACATACAAAAATACAGGAACCAGGAAAGTCTTGATCAGGTTAACCCTTTCCCTCAAGGAAAGCCGCCACCCCCCTTCCAGCATCTCACCTTGACCTCAGCATCAGACAGTTTGGTTTCCCAATTTAACTTGTCATAATCAGCAGAGCCAAAATTGATGCCTAAGATTTTCACACTCTGTTGAGGCACTGGGAAGGTGTCCGGAAGTGAGAAGCTCTCACCCTCCCTACCCATCCAAAGAACTTCACATTTGTCTCGATTGACCTTGGAGCCAGACGCCTCAGCATACTGATCCATCACCAAGACCACCTCCTGCGCCTCCTCAGTCCCGGAGATGAAGACAGAAACGTCGTCAGTGTAGGCAATGACCCTCAGGGGTGGATCACCAGCAGCACCCACCGGCACCCCACCCAACGCTCCACCATCTAGCCTCCTGACGAAGGGGTCAATAGCGAAGGCGTAGAGCAGAGGACTCAGCGGGCACCCCTGGCGCACCCCCGATCCAACCCCAAAGGGCCGCCCAACCCAACCATGCACCAACAGGAAGCTCTCAGCCTCCCTGTATAACATCTTCAACCAGCCAATGAACCTCCCCTCCAAACCGTACCGGTCCAGGAGATGCCAGAGGTACTCATGATTGACTCTATCAAAGGCCTTTGCCTGGTCCACCGCCAGCAAGAACTTCCCCCATCCTTCAGCCTTACACCGTTCCAGAGCCTCCCGGACAGCTAACACCGCTGTGAAGGTACTCCTGTCCTGGACCGAGCAATGCTGCTGACGAGAAAGCAAACCGTCTGCCGTTTGGTCAGGTGTATATCCACCAGCTGGGCAACCTGGTCTCCTGCAAAAAGAAAATATCAGCATCCATTCCACTGATCAAAAATAAGGCCGTTTCTCGTGCACTTACAGATTTCAGGCTGGCAACATTAATGGTTGCCACCTTCAACGGAGCGGGAACTGCCATTAAGGAGATTGAGAAAGACGTTTCTTGACCTTCCTTCTGGACTTTCGAGCAGGATCCCTCACCCTCTTCAGGGACCCTCCTCATCCTCCATTGGGGATGTGGGGTCACTAGAAGCCCCCCCTTCCTCCCCCCGACAGAGCCCCAAACCGATTATCCTGGGCCAAGTCTTCCACCTCCAAGGAGGAGACTGACCCCGCCTTAGAAAGGACAGGCTGATTCCGCTTCCCCACAGGAGCGGGATGGGGTTCAGATGGAGGAGGGTTGGTCCCTACCAACCCTCCTCCATCTGAACCCCATCCCGCTCCTCCCGAACAGGACCATGAGCCTCCCGAGAGACCCCCCCACTCCGCCTGCGAGGGAGAAGGACCAGGGGAACAGGCACAACAGACCTAGATCCTAACTCAACCACCTCTGCCCCTTTGGCAGCCTCAACCAATTTCCTCCCTCTCCTGGGAAGGGGGACAGGTGCTACAGAAGGGACTGCAGGGGACTCTACTGGATCAGGATCAGCAGGGGTAACTGAAACGGGCTGGGCCTCAGACGCCTCCCCTGCTGCCCCGGAAGACACTGCAGAAGCCACACCAGCCCTCTCCGCCCCCAACTCAGCCTCCTCAGCATCCATCCGGTCCAGCTCTGCTGCCAACTCATCTACAGGCAAGTTGCGTAGAGCCTCAGGACATTGACTATAGGAGTGTCCTAAAACACCGCAGAGATTGCAACGAATCTGGTTGCAGTCCCTCACCAAGTGACCGATTTCCTGGCATAGGGAGCACCTAATAACAGGACAGGTGGCAGCGAAATGCCCCTTGCCACCACATCTGTTGCACACCAGAGGCTGACCAGGATAAAAAATGATCAGCCGGTCTTTCCCCAAGAAGACCAAGGAGGGGATGTGTTGCAGGACGTGACCGACCACCCTCAAACGGACATGTGCCGTCCATCCTCCCGTCCAGATTTTCCTATCATCCAAAATTTTCTGAAGGGGTCCCAACACATCTCCATATCTCCCCAGCCAGACAACTATATCCGAGCCCGGAACAGACTCGTTCTGGACGAGAATTGTCACGTTTTTAATCCTGTTCTGACATGAAATAAGCTTTGGGGTGAGACCCGCCCACCTGGGGCTTTTGACATAGGTGGCCTCGAATTTTTGCCAGAAAAGGTCGAGCTGATCTGCTGAACAAAAAAGGGGCGGAAATAGCCACCTAGCATGACACGTAAATATGTGTCATATTAATATCTCCATCTCACTAATAACTAGTGTGGATTTATAAACCCGATATACTTAAGATAAAAAATAGCAGTATGACAAGTGCAATACTGCTCACACAAAGTGGTTATTAGAAAATCCAAGCGGAGTAATATAATTAGTAATTACAAAAAAGTTTTATTCGATCACATGGATCATAAGGAGGTTAGACAGAGACATGGTAAACAGGTCATTATAAAATCACTAAGTTAAAAACATTCGGCGTCTCCAGATCTAATAGTTATCGGCAATCAGGAATCCACATAAGGCAATGAAGTTCCTAACTACTTGATCAAAGAATTTTCATATTTTCCATACGATATCTGCATAGGGAGATCATTCTTCAAATAAATGTTTTTGGTAACCACCACAATGAATAGAATGACTTCCTGAAATGGAAAAACCAGAAAAGAAAGGATCATAGTAGAGGGAACAAAAAATAGGATATATGCACTAACCATATGCAATAACAAAATAACCCCATATCAGGTATATATGTTATTCCATTACCTTCTCATAAGCTTGACCATCATGAAAGGATGGATATATGGCCTTCCTGGGTAACCACCCCAGATGGAAATGTATCCACAGTAGTAAGTGATTCTAAAAGTCTATAAAAATGAGACATAAATATCAAACGACCAGCAAACCTGAATGGAACTAAATAAGGGTAAAAATCTTTGAATATTACCATACAGAAGATCAAGGGGACTCCTCCTTACTTGAAGTAAGATCAGGTCTGGATGAAAAAGTGAATATGGGGGTGGGAAGCAAATTTGTCGATGACCTTGTTAAAGATATGGTCATCGAACTTAAGTCTTATGTAAGACATACCGGAGATGTACTGGAAAAAATGAGTGATTTGGAAGTACCAAAGGGAGCACTCTTAGTGAGTATAGATGTAGAATCACTTTATACCTCAATCCCACATGTCTGGGGACTGAGAGCTATAGCTTTTTTCCTGGAAGCACATTTTCCAGGAATGGAGGCCCAGAATGAATTCATTCTGGACCTCATGGAATTTATGTTGACCCACAATTGCTTTCAATTCCTGGGGACATGGTACCAACAGGTATGTGGTACTTCCATGGGAGCACCCTGGGCTCTGGCCTATGCGTGTCTTCACCTGGGCCTTTGGGAGGAAGATTTGGTATATCCTTCTATTCTGTTTAATCTACATGTAGTTAAATGGCTGAGATATATTGATGACGTCCTGATGATATGGGATAGAGATATGGGACAATTGGAATGCTTTCTTGAACTTCTCAATAAGAATGATAGAAATATCAGGTTAACATATACTGCTGATAGTGAAGTAATTTCATTCCTTGATCTTTCTATTTCAATATGTGAAAATAGATTAACTACTAAAACATTTAGAAAAGAAACGGCAGCAAATACACTTTTACATGCCACCAGCTACCACCCGGAAAGTTTAAAACAGGGTATACCCATTGGCCAATTTCAGAGAATTAGACGGAACTGTACTAATGATGTCCAATACAAAGCTGAATCTATTCAGCTTTATAAAAGATTTAGGGAAAGGGGGTACTCACATGGGACTTTGAGAAGAGCGAAACGAAGAGCTTCCTATAAAACAAGGAATGAATTAATCTCTAACTCTAAAACTAAAGCGGGCGACAAACATTTTAATCAACCAGTAAGGTTCATAACTAAATTTGGACAACAATGGAATGATGTTAAAAATGCCTTACATTCACATTGGCATTTATTAACTCAAAACTCTGGAATAGCACAGATAGTCGGTGATAACCCACATATGGTAGCAAAAAGAGCCCAAAATTTGAATGATATCTTAGTACAATCAGAGTTCCAAAGAACTCCTCAAACCAATTGGTTAACTAAGCAAACCCGTATGACTGGGATGTTTCCCTGTGGCCACTGTCAAATTTGCCCGC